TTTCAAAAAGTTGAACAGAAGGAAACACCTCCAACCCATTTTACAAAACCAACATTACTCTGAAACCAAAGCCAAACAAGGACACTTAAATAAGGAAAACAACAGGACTATATCCCTGATGAACAAAAGTCCTTAACAAATTACTAGCAAACCAAATTCAATAGCACATGAAAAAGATCTTATACCATGATCAAATGAAATTTATACCTGGGATGCAAGAATGGTTCAACATATGCAATTAATAAATGTTACACATCATATTAACAGAATGAAGAATACAAATTTAAAAAAAGAATAAAAATCATATCCATCTCAATATAAACAGAAAAAGTATTTGACAAAATTCACCATACTTTCATTATTAAAAACTCAACAAATTAGGTATAGAAAAATGTCCCTCAACTTAATAAAGGTCATCATATATGACAAGCCCACATCTAACATCATACTCATCTGAAAGCATTTCCTTTAAGATAAGAAACAAGACAATCATGCCCACTTTCACCACTTCTACTCAACATAGACAGAAGTCCTATCTAGAGAGAGTAAAATAAATAAAGAATAAATGAATAAATAAAAGCATCCAAACTACAAAGTAAGAAATAAAATTGTCTGTTTGCAGAAGACAAGTTGATCTTATATTTAGAAAACCCTAAAGACTCCACCAAAAACCTGCCAGATCTAATAAATGATTTTGATGAAACTTCAGGAAGCAAACTTATCGAAAATCAGTTCTATCTTTATATTCTTACAGCAAACTACATGAGAGGGAATCTAAGAAAACAACCCCTTTTACATCAGCATGAAAAAAAAATACCTAGGAATTAATTTAACTGAAGAGATGAAAAAAAGTCTGCATAAAAAACTATAGGACATTGGTGAAAGAAACTAAAGAAGATACAAATAAATAGAAAGATATCCTATGGTCATGGATTGGAAAAATTAATATTGTTAAAATGTGCATACTACCCAATGTGATCAACAGAGTCAATGCAATCTCTGTCAAAATATGAGTGATATTTTTCATAAAAATAGAAAAAACTACTGCAAAATATATGCTAGTGGTGGTGGTTTAGTCACATCCAACTCTTTGCAACCCCATGGACTATAGCTGCCAGGATCCTCTGTCCATGGGATTTCCCAGGCAAGAATACTGGAGGGGATTGCCATTTCCTTCTCCAGGGGATCTTGCCGACCCAGGAATTGAACCTGAGACTCCTGATTGGCAGGCAGATTTTTTTTACCACTGAATCACCTGGGAAGCCCTGCAAAATGTATACAGAACCACAAAGGATTAAATAGCCAAAGCAATCCTGAGCAAGAAGAACAAAGCTGGAGGCATCATGTTTCCTGATTTTAAACTCTATTACAAAACGATTGTAGTCAAAACAGTGTGGTACTGGCATAAGAACAGACACATAGTCCAATGGAACTGATGAGAGTCTAGAAATAAAGCCACATATAAGCAGTCTATTAATTTTTGACAAGAGTGAATACACAATGGGGAAATGATAGTCTCTTTAATTAATAGTTCTGGAAAATTTGGACATCCACATGCAAAAGAAAGAAACTGGACACTTATCTTACATCATACACAAAAATCAACTCAAAATGCATTGAAGACTTAAACCCAAAACTGTAAAACTGCTAGAAGAAAACAGAGGGAAAACACTCCTTGACATTAGTCTTTGCAATTATTTTTTGGATATAACACCAAAAGCAAATACAACAAAAGCAAAAATAAATGTGTGGAATTATATCAGACTAAAAAGCTTTTGCGTAGCACACAATCCACAGAATGAAACAGCAACCCACAGAATGGGGAAAATATTTGCAAATCATATTTCTGATAATAAATTCTCCATAATATATAAGGAACTTATACAGTTAATTAAATAGCATAAAATAAACAATTTGATTTGAAAATGGACAAAGCACTACCTGAATAGTCATTTTTCTGAGGATGACATACAGATTGCCAACAGGTATGTGAAAGGTGCTCAATATAACTAATTATTGGGGAAATACAAATCAAAACCACAACGACATGTCACCTGTTAAATGATTACCATCAAAGAGATAAGAGGTAACAACTGTGTGAAGTTGTGGAGAGAAACGGAACCTTGTGCACTGTTGGTGGAACTGTAAACTGGTTCAGCCACTATGGAGAACCCTATGGATGTTACTCAAAAAATTAAACATAGAACAACCACATGTTCCAGCAATCCCACTTCTGGGTGTATATCCACAGGAAATGAAAAAGGTTACTGAGAAAACATATATTCTCCCATGTTTATTTCAGCATTATTCACAATTGCTAGTATACATATAAAATATTATTGTGTCATGAGAAAAAAGGAAATTCTGCCATTTGCAAAAAATATGGATGCACTTTGAGGACATTATGCTAAATGAGATGTCAGAAAGAGAAAGACATATACTGTATGATATCTCTTACATGTGAAATTTAAAAAAAACATTGTTACCAGGAGCTGCGAGGGTTGGGGTGGGAAAATGAGACAGCGGTTGTTTAAATGTACATATTTGCATTATGTGATGTGTACATAATATACAGATGTTAGCTTAGGGTACAATAGCAATAGTACTTTCAATCAACATGATGTACACCTTAAATTACACAATGTTTATTGTATGTCAAATATACTCAATAAAAAATAATTGTCAAAAATGGTAACTGTGTGAGGTGATAGATGTGTTAATTAGCTTGATTATGGCAATCATTTCACAATGTATATGTATATCAAATCATCACATATATATATACATATACATATATGTGCAGTCAACATATGCAATCTTAGTTCCCCAACCAGGATCAAACCTGCAGCGGAAGCACCATGTCTTAACCACTGGACCACCAGGGAAGTTCCTATATTTTTATTTGTCAGTTATATCTCAAAAAGTTGGAAAAATATTTTAAAATCTATGTCAGAACCTTAGGGCACAAGTCTAATCAGGCTCTTAAAAAATAAATAGTGTAATTGAAATGAGCTGCATTTCATTACATCATTTATTTAGTAGTATCAACCATGAATGCAACTTAATCTGAAAAGAAACAACAAAGTTCTTATCAGTTCAAGAAATTTACTGCATATGTAACTATGAATAAGAATAGAGAGCAACATGAGTCTTAGCAAAATCACAAATTTCTTCATGTCACAGATCTTCATAAATCTTTGAACCTGCCAGGGTGCTCAGATGTGTCCAACTTTTGTGAGCCCATGGACTGCAGTCCACCAGGTTCCTCTGTTCATGGGATTTTTTAGGCAAGAAAACTGGATTGGGTTGCCATTTCTTCCTCTAGGGGATCTTCCCAACCCGGAGATGGAACCCGGGTCTCCTATGTCTCCTGCATTGGCAGGTGGGTTCTATACCATTGAGTTACTTGGGAATCTTTGAACAGCAGGTATTTATCAAATCTATAAGTGTACAAAAGCTTGCTATACTTATATTATTGTACTTATGTCATTGAACACCTATTGCTCTGATGAGAACATGAGCTTCTTGGAAACAGGCCCCCTTTTGTCATTCTTTTTATACCAAAGTTAACCTAACACAAAGCAACCACTCTGGAAACACTTGTTGAAATAATTGCCTTCTAATTAATGTCTATTTCTAGACTATTCCCCTCTATAAAATCCTGCCAGTTTTTTACAAAAATACAGTTCTGATAATCTCATTTTCATTGTCCCAAAACAATGAATGGTTGTTCATAATCTGCTTTACAGGATTATGTCCACATACCCTGGCAGGGTGTACTCTACTCACAACTTGTATTCCCAGTCTCATTCCTGGCCTCTCCTCTTCACATACTCTTTCCTCAAGCTGTGCTGACTGTTCCTTGAACACTTTTGTATTTTCATTACTCTCCAGTGTCCAGTGTCTAGTGTTAATCGCTCAGTCCTGTTCAACTCTTTGTGACCCCATGGACTGTGGCCTCCCAGGCTTCTCTGTCCATGGAATTCTCCAGGCAAGAATACTGGATTGGGTTGCCATTTTTTTCTCCAGGTGATCTTCCCCATCTAGGGATCAAACCCGTGTCTCCTGCACTGCAGGCAGAGGCTTTAAGATCTGAGCTACCAGAGAAGCCTGGTACTCTCTGCCTTTGTAAATGCTGTTTCCTCTGTCTGAAAAGTCCTTACCCTCCCTTTTGTCAGGCAAACTCTTATTTATTATTGAAGCTCAGCTTAAATATCACTACCTTGTAGTTTTCTCTCACCTCTCACAGAATTGATATCTCTCCCATTTTTTTCTGTACCAATATATTTATTTATTCTTAAAATAAATGGACTAAGTTGACTCAGGGGGAAGGGAACTAGGGAAAGAAGGAGGGAGCTTCCTGTCAATGGACTTACCCAAGCAGCAACTGCGGCGCTACGTGTTAAGCATATTGTTCAAGCAGCAGTGGGAGTATGCGGCTGGATAATCTTTAAGTCATTAGATGCTACCGTTCGTATCTTTACCACTGCGTGTCTTTGTGCTCGTGTGTGTCAGACAATTGTGTGTATGTGTGTGTGTGTGTGTGTGTGTGTGGCGTTGGGAGGGAGGAGACAAAGAAACAGAGATCAGAGCGGAGATGAGGGGGACGCAGTGCAGTAAGAGCAGATGGGCGGACCTAAATTTCTTCTGCTTAAGAGTTTTGCAGAGGTCTAGCCCTGCATCAAGTGCTGTGGCAAGGGGTGGGAGAGGAGGAAAGAGGAGGGACTGCACTCTCCACTCCCTCTGAGCGTGCCCAGCCTCGCCAGGCTGACGGATCATCTTCCGCTCCAACACCGCCTGTTCCTCCTCGCCGTGACTCATGCCTATTGTGTGTGGTGCACTCTGGCCTGCAGCCCCACAGGTGGTATCGACTAGGGGAGACTGTTCCCGCCAGGCTAGGCAGTGGAGCGCCGCACAGCGCGTCTTCCCGCCTCTCAGCCGCTGCCCAGCAATTCCGACCCAGCGCCAGCAGGCCTGCTCGGTCGATCTTCGAGCCTAAGATGCGGCGGGGCTGGAAGATGGCTCTGTCCGGGGGGCTACGGTGCTGCCGCCGTGTACTTTCCTGGGTGCCAGTGCTCGTTATCGTCCTCGTCGTGCTCTGGTCCTACTATGCCTACGTCTTTGAACTCTGCCTGGGTAAGTCGAGCTGGCACCTAAGGTGGGGAAATTATGCTCCAGCATAACCGTCTGCCCTACCCTTCACAGTGGTGTCCCCTGTGTTCTTAGCCCTCACACTGCGGTTTTCCTTAAGCTCCCTGGAGATCTCTTGATCTCCAACCTATGGCTTCCCATAGTATTTCTTGCACCCTCCCACGAGTGTCCCACCATGTCGCTATCGTCTCCTAGCCAGGGTTTCTTACATTACTTCCTGGCCCTACCCACAAGAATTTCCTTTTCTTTCCCCCACTGGGATCCCCTTTTCTCAAACAGGACAACCACTTGTGCCTTGTGCTCTGGTTCTGGGGGCTGTCATCCTACCGAGTTGAGTAAACAACGTACCCTGTATACTTAAACTGGCCACTTACACTATGAGTCCCGCCAATTCACCCAACTAAAAGCCCCACATTTTCCAATTTCTTCCTACTAGGAACCCCCAAATATTTCCTGTACTCTCTTACTAGCTCTCCCTTATCTAACACTGGGATTCCTCCTTTTCCAGTGATCCTCTCAAGCCAGCTGAAATGCATTTTCTGCCACTTGGGACCCCACGGTACACCTTGTTCTATCCCACTGTAGTCTCCCCTTTTCACAAAGTAATGCGCCTTCCATTCCTCTTTCCCTGTGGGACTAAACTAAAAGTTCAATTAGTTTCCCTTCCATTCCCCATTTTCTCATCCTCTCTAATGGAATGGAAATCCTACAATACATCCCATCCTGTCTGCTCATACAGGAAGCCCTGATTTTGTCACACTGAAGCCCCCCTTAGTCTCCTGCCTGCCTGCTTTGAGGTGCATTCACTCCTTCCCATTCGTGGCCCCACATAAATTTCTGACACCTCATACTAGCCACCCTGCTTTTTTATCACATTATGGTACTGCTTTGTCCACTGTTTTCTCACAGGAGGGTATCCTGTTTACCCTCCCACAAGGGCTTCCCTGGTGGCTCAGATGGTAAAGAATATGCCTGCAATGCAGGAGACTAGGGTTCGGTCCCTGGGTGGGAAAGATCCCCTAGAGAAGGGAATAGCTACTCACTCCAGTATATTTGCCTGGAGTATCCTATGTACAGAGGAGCCTAGTGGGCTACAGTCCATGGGGTTGCAAAAAGTCAGACACAACTGAGCAACTAACATTTTCACTTTCAAGGTTCCCACAATACCCCCTATACACCTTCCAAAGGCCATTAGTTTTCTAATGATGATCTCCCCTTGCTATCTTTTCTGAAATATACTCCCCACCTCCTGCAGTCCTCTTCCACTGTTAGCTCCACATTTTGCCATCCTCTTCCTCTAGGGTTTCTTATTATTTTCACTTACTTCCCTCTAGGATTGCACTTGTCCCTTGTCTTCTCAACCTAGGGAAACACCATACTTTCCTTCAGGGGTTTCTAATATTTCCTTTCCTTACAATTGGAGGCTCATTTCTTGTCCCCTCTCATTATACCATACTTTTATAAATCTAGGGTCTCCTCTTGTACCCAGTCCTATAATACCAGGGAGCATTTCATCCCCTCCAGTCTATAAAATGGTTCCAACAGTATATCTCATGCTCTCAAACTCAGAATTTCAAAGTATTTACAGATGCAAATCCCAAGATTCTATCCCACTTAGATTACCCCCAGTCCCCTATAGTGTTATCAATTCACAATGGAGTCTTCATAGTATATCCTGTCTCCTCACAAAAGAACCTCTGCTTTTCTCATGGTGAGATCTCCCTTTGCCTCTCATATTGAAGAATCCCCATCTCTTCTCAAAGGAAGTTCCACTAATCTTGTCACTTCAGTATAGAATCCCACTTCTAACATTCTTAAAATTGTGTCCTATAATGTTCCCTATTCATTCAATGTGAGGTCCCAGTATATTTCCAGTCCCCTCACATTAGGACTCCTGTTTGTCTCTTTGGACATCCCCTCACTTTCAAATCCCTCCAAGACTCCTATATTCCTTTATATCAGATTCTCTTCCTCTTAAAAATTATGGTTGAGGTCCTGCTTTTTCTAACCCTAGGACCTGACTCCACTTATAATTTCTGTTTCTTACGTATTTGACAAAGCAATAGTCTACTCCAGGTAGACTGGGATTAACTAGGGAGACAGAAGATAACCATCTTTTCTAATACAGAACTTTTTTATAGATTCTGTGCATCAGAGTTTGAATTTTCCAGATCCATTTCTTAGATTTACTAAGGAAAATACAGAAAGTTTGTTACAAATTCAATTAGTTGCCTTCATAGATACTAATTTAGGCTGTATTTCTTTTTTATCACATTCTGATATGCAGTTGCATGGGGATGTACAATGACTGGGAAGTTTTTCTGTTCCCAGAGCTCACCACTTTGCTCTTTTGAATGATTGACTGAAGGGTTAAAAGTTCAGCTCTGTTATTGTTGCTCCTAGGATCAATGCCATATTGTAAATATATCAGACATATTTTGGAGTTTTTCAGTACTGACCTACATGAGCTTTGCCAAGCAATTATTTTAAAAATTAATAATGGCTAACACTTATATAGTGCTTGATCTGTGCCAGGCAATGTTCTAAGTACTGTAGATATATGAACATTTTAATATATTAACTTATTTAATACTAATACTAACCATACAAAACAGATATCATTATTATCCCCATTGTGCAGATGTGCAAAATGATGTAAAGACCAAATTAATGTAAATAATTAGCTTTCTACAAGTTCTTATTAAGTTATATAATATTAAAAGCTGAAAAGAAGCTTATTTATTTTGTTTATTTAACATATGTGCAGGGCATTTACTACATTCTAGGCACTGTTTTAAGTGACTACATACACACAAACATACACAGACACACAAACTTAATCCTTATAACAACCTTATGAGGCACACATTATCATTATAACCATTTTGAAGATAAGAAAATTGAGGCACAGACACATTGTGAAACTTATCTAAGGTCATGGAGCTAGTAAATGTCCAAGCTTGGATGGCAACCCAGGTAGTATAGCTCCTCAGTCCATGCTTTAACCTCCACAGTATCTTACTTAATTCCATCTACTTTCAACCAATACAGAGGTCTAAACTTGTGACTCATAGGCCACATGTAGCCTACAGATGTGTTTCATTTGGCCTGCACAGTGTTTTCTTAACATTTTACATCACAGTGTTTTCTTAACATTTTACATCAGATACCATTATTTAAAAACGAGGAGGGTAAGATAGCTTTTATTTCCAATTCCCGCTCCACCAATCCATCCTGTCATCTCCCCCATCCCCTTTAATAAGTCTTTTATTTTTTTATTTAATTTTTAATTGGAGGGAAATTGCTTTACAAGGTTGTGATGGTTTCTGCTGTACAAAAATGCAAATCAGCCATAATTATACATATATCATCTCCCTCTTGAGTCTCCCTTCCTTACCCCATCCTACCTGTCTAGATCACTACAGAGCACCAGGCTGGGCTCCCTGTGTTATATAGAAACTTCCTACTTGCTGTCTATTTTACACATTATAGTGTGTGTATATCAGTGCTACTTTCTCCATTCTTCCCACTCTCTCCTTCCCCCACTGTGTCCACAAGTCCGTTCTCTATGTCTGTGTCTCCATTCCTTCCCTGCAAGTAGGTTCATTAATACCATTTTTCTAGATTGCATATATATGCTTTAATATATGATACTTATTTTTCTCTTTCTGACTTCACTCTGTATAACAGGCTCTGGTTTCATCCACCTCACTAGGACTGACTCAAATCCATTATTATTTATGGCTGAGTAACATTCCACATCCTCACCAAAGCTTATTTACCTTTTAAAATTATAGCCATCAGAGTAGCTATGAAGTAGTATCTTATTGTGATTTTGACTCAATATCCCTGATGACTAGTGAAATAGATTATCTTTTCATATATTTGTTGGCCATTTGTATATCTTCTTTAAAGAAATATCTGTTTAAGTTCTTTGCACATTTTTAACTGGGTTATTTAGTTTTTGAATTATATGATTTCCTTATGTATTTTGAGTATTCAACCCTTATCAGATAAATGATTTGTAGATACTTTCTCCCATTCTGTGTGTTATCTTTTCACTTCTTTGATAGTATAATTTTATATCTGCTCGGTTGCTCAGTTGTATCTGACTCTACGACCTCATGGACTGTAGCTCGCCAGGCTCCTCTGTCCATGGCGTTGTCCCAGCAAGAATACTGGGGTGGGTTGCCATTTCCTCCTCCAGGCCATCTTCCCGACCCAGGGATCAAACCTGCGTCTTCAGCGTCTCCTACATTGGGAGGTGGACTCTTTACCACTGAGCTACCTGGGAAGCCTGTCATTTGATGCATAACATCTTTAATTTTGATAAAGTTCAACTTACCTATATTTTTACTTGTTGCCTGCTGTTTGGTATCATACCTAAGCATCCATTGCTAAATGCAAGGCCATAAAGATTTACCCCTGTATTTTCTTCTAAAAGATTTTTATAGTTTTTACTTTTTATTAAATATGATTAGATCTTTGGTCCATTTTGAGTGAATTTTTATACATGGATTGAGGGAGGAATCCAGATTCATTCTTTTGCATGTGGCTATGAACTTGTCCCAGCGTCATTTATAGAAGAGACTATTCTTATGCCATTGAATAGCCTTGACATGATTGTCAAAAACCAATTGATCATAGAGGTATGGATTTATTTCTGTACTCTTAATTCTGCCCCACTGATTTGTTTGTCTGTACTTCTGCCAGTACCACACTTGCTTTGATAAACATATCTTTGTTTTAAATTTTGATGTCAAGAGTGTGAGTCCTCCAAATTTATTTTTCTTTCTTATTGTTTGGCATTTTATTTTTTAAAATTTATTTCTTTTAATAGGAGGCTAATTACTTTACAGTATTGTAGTGATTTTGCCATGCATTGACATGAATCAGCCATGGGTGTACATGTGTTCCCCATCCTGAACCCCCCCCCACCTCCCTCCCCATCCCATCCCTCTGGGTCATCCCAGTGCACCAGCCCA